TAATAATATAAATGGTTTTATTGTAATTTAAAGATTTAATTTAACATGAAAGAGGGAGTGATTGTTATAAATAAAATGGTTTGTTCAGATAATTTGTGTTGTAATAATTGTGTCAGAAGTATAACAGTAAATACATATCGGTTCTGCATATCGGTTATCGGGCACATAAACATGCAAATAATCGGCATCGGTTATAAAAAAAATCAATATCGGTCGATCACTAAAACATATAGTTAATATTGAGAATTATACCCTAAACGGATGACATACCTATTATTGTAATGGCGTTTTTATAAAAAAGATCATTTAAAAAATGTCATAATGCAAAGTATCCATTTCCGTTAAGCAAAATATAATTTCTTAATCTTTTTTGGAATGATTTTGGGGCTGAAATGAAACCCAGGCGTGTTCTTGCCAGTTTTTCTTGAACCCCCCCTGTTTGTTTGGCTGTTTAGGTCTTTTGCAGTCAAGTGGTTATGTAGCGGACGTCTCCTGAGGGAAATGAGGGATATCAAATCAGTTAGATGAGAACCAGAGGCCCCCGTGAGCAGAAAAGTGAGAAAACAGCAGCAGGGATCTGATTTCCTCTGGCCACAGGGTGAAAACATCACCCGGAGCCAGCAGGAGACGCGTGTCAAGTACGAGGGCTCTCTGTGGCTCGCAGCTATCTCTCGAGATTGATTGGCTGGATAACGACGACAGGCCAAACAGGACGGCTACAACACAGCGTCTCGAAGGCTGGCGGCGTCTGTCCACGCTGAGCATCCGTGTGTTTTTGGGATTGTATGTGTGCTCGGGTTTCGCTGCTAGTAAGTGCGAGAGCTTGACCTCCGAAAACTGTCAAAACATAACGACAGTGAGGAAATTGTCTCCAAGATGTCAGGTCTCAGCCGCCGGCGCTGTGTGGAAATATCCAGCCGGTCAGGCAGAAAAACAAACACCTGCATTTCAGGCCTAAAGATGCTGCGGGCAGTGGTGGCAGAAATTATGCTTTTTATTAAGAAGCAATGTTTGTCCCCTAAAATTGATTTTAACCCTTTGAAGTCCACACCAAGAAAAAAGTGATGCGAAATTTTCTTTGTTTGGATTTCTTATCTTCTTATGTCGCTAGTAACCTCACTCAATGTATTTTTTTTTTTCAGCACATCCCATCATTTTTCAAATATCAGCCTCTACCAAATGGTTGAGATGTCACTTAATGTTAATAAATGGTACCGGAATTCATACACGTACTTTGCCATACTTTTTCATTGCCCATCATAATTTATGATCGAACACATTCTCAGAAAGGAGTTTCAAAGTTCAATATTTTGTAACAGAAGTGATATTTGGACAGAAATTTATTAATTTGTTGCAGCAGAATCCATACAATTAAATTCATTGGAATTTATGTCATTTTTGGTATTACGCCTAAACAAAATCACCCCTGGTTTTTTTCTGATGCTAGTTAGAAAGCAATGGAATGATAATATCAAAGACCTATATGGAAATTACAAAAGTTTTACATGGCATAGGAGGAATATATATATATTATATATATATGAACGCATTACAATCACTAAGTAAAATCTGTTTTTATTCCGTCTGCCAGCTGAGATTCCTTCACACCCCTACAGACTACTTTTTATTATCTCCATAACGGATTTATCGCTGCCAGCGTGATGGTTTAGCTTTTTAAAATCCTTTTTAGTCCTCAAGGTCCACCGTGCCATTGACAACCCACTATGCATCATAACGTGGGATCGGCTGTATAAACCTCTTAAAACTGGTGTTCGTACATTCGTCTAGAGTAAGATCCCATTCCTCCAACGATCAGTTAAGTGACCTACTTGAGAGACGGAGGGGTGGAGAGCAACACCAGTGATGATTGCTGTCATTATAATCTAGTGCTAGAGAAAATGAGGCTAATGCAAGTGTCAATCTGCTAAATAAGTCCACTGGGCTCAATAGCACAGCTGGAGTTCTGGAAAAGCGGTTAAACGGGCGCTGAAGGAACTCACACACACAGCTTGGTAATATGGACACTTCACCTTTCATTCAATCCAACAGCTTGTACTGTATATGTACAATGCATTATCAGGCCTTTTGATCAGAAGAAAAAAACATTATGTCAACGCACCATGTCCTAAACATGGTGTAGTACAGCAATTCCCAAACTGTGGTCCGCGGATCACTAGTGGTCCGTGAGGGTACTGCAGGAGGTCCGTGAAAAAGCAAAAAATAATAATAATAATTTTCCAAGAAATTGCTATTAAAACAAAAGTAAAAAGGATATGTAGGCCTATATTTATATAAAATGTAAATTAAATTGTCAAGCTATTGTGTGATTACTAAAATGGGCTAGTGGCGCTCAGCCATGACGTTCAAGCTCCGTTTCGTCAGATGTGCAGATGACAGATGACAAACTCAAGTCTACTTTTTGAGGACTTGTTCAAATGAACCTGATTATAATATGTAATATATAATATAATTTGTAATATCATAATATGTGTATTATGAGGTGGTCCGTGAAAATTCTTTATTACAAAGAGTGGTCCACACATACAAAAAGTTTGAAAACCCCTAGTGTAGTAGACGTTTGGATAATATAATCGCATCATGCTGGCAGTGAAAAAAAAAAAATATATATATATATATATATATATATATATATATATACATACATATATACAGTGTATATACCGGTGTATATGTATATATATATATATATATATATATACATGATAGTGCTGGGCAACAATTAATTGCGGTTAATCGCATCCAAAATAAAAGTTTGTGTTTACTGTGTATAATTATTTTATATATTTAAATACTTCTTAAATATATATATGTGTGTATTTATATATACAAAATAATTATACACAGTGCACACATATATTATGTAAACACAAACTTTATTTAGAATGTGATTAATCATGCTTTATTTATCATATATATATATATATATATATATATATATATATATATATATATATGTGTGTGTGTGTGTGTGTGTGTGTGTGTAAAATCCCTAGAACTATTTTAGCCGTGCATTCCCCTGAAAATAATTGCACACCTTAAAACATTTGTAAACCAATCAGATTGAAGCATTCAACAGCGCCGTAGTATAATTGCTAATAAGAGCTATTTTTCTCTTTCTTTGTCTGGCGTCTTAGATGGATTTTTTCTCTGGGCTTGTCACAGTGATTTACATGATTGCCTTCTTTGCGAACGATAAATACGATACCCAAAACGAAGACAGCATAATTAATCTGCATACTTTTAAAACAACCGAAAAACACAGTGCTGAAATTGCCTTTAAAATGAGATTACTGACGTGGAACTAGAGCTGGACATGTTCTTGACGTGCCAGTTTTAATGTGATTCACCCAGAGTGTCCATCTACTTCCTGTCAGTCACACACACACACACATGCATGACGTGGTTCATCTCCCATAGCTGTGGTGACTTCAGTCTTCTCTCCCGCTTAAATGACTGGAAGCGAGTGAACGGAGCCGGTGCATATTATTTGTGTCCTTTGCCTTTCCTCTGCAAATGTAACTTTTATGAGGTTGTCAGCCCTTGTTGCAGAAGCAGAACAGACTGTTTGATGTTGGAGAGAACAAAGTGAAGGTCTGACTCAGATCTCTCCAAATACACAGGGGCGGTTTATCATAAACATGAGTGAGAAGAACCAGAGCATAGCCGCCGCTCTCTAGGTGTGTTTACTGAGCGTGGCAGAGCCTTAGGATCGAGAAGATTCGCTTCATAAAACAGTAGAAACCATCAGCCGGAGCATGCCAACTCTTATAACCCACTTCCCAACCACATTTTTGGGAGATTATCATTGTTTTAAGATTTTTATTTGTCATTATCGTCTCATCTTACCAAGTATAATCCTTTAAATAAAATATTTTATATTGTGTGTATATGTATATATATATGAAGAGTTCAGATGCAAAAGCCTCTAAATGCCATTTGAAATTTTCTTCTTTAATGATTTTTTATCAAACTTGTATATTTAAGTTCAGTAATTTCACTTAAATAACAATTAATAGGTAATTATCATTGTCATTTAAGTGAAATCACTGAACTTAAATATACAAGCTTGATAAAAATGATCATTCTAGAAGAAAATTTCAAATGGCACTTAGAGGCTTTTGCATCTGAACTCTTCATATATATATATATATATAAAGTATAGTGTGTATACAGTGTATATATATATATATATATATATATATACTGTATATATCAATGAAAAATGCAATTTAAATATCAAAAAACATTTAGAGTTGCAAACTAAATTGCTAAATGTTTTAATTTAACATGCATTTAACAAATCATTTACTAATTTACCATTTAAATTTTTCTTTAACTGGATTGTAAAACTTTACCAAAATTTAACAGTTTTAAATGTCTAATAATTTGTCCATTTAAAAATTGATATATTCACATTTTTATGTTTGAATTATTAAATTGATGATAACTTATTCCTTCATTTTATTTGATTTTGAAGTGTCCGGTCTAGTCTTCCATAGCAGTGCCACCCTTTTCCAGACCACAGCTCATAGTAACGCATCACTCTCCAAAAAGGATTAAAAAAGCATAAATGATGAGAGATCCATTAGCAGATCAGTGAATCCTTCCTTCATTAAACCAACACAACTGAACACCGCCCTCTTCCCAACAGCTCACCTGAGCGCTAGTTAAAACCTTCTCCTGTAATCACAGAAAAACCCAACTGGTTTATAAAAAACATCCCGATATTGGCACTGATTGCATGCTTTTGAAATTTTCTTTCAAAATTATTATCTGGAGAGCTCTGAGGACAGGACCCAGCTGAGGCTCGTGTGTGTGTCAGGCTTGGCAAACACACTCAGTAAAACAGCACAGATGGCCCACGTTCGCACTTGGCTGTCTTACAGACTGACAGACAGACAGGTGCACTCCCATTTTTCACCACAGATCTCTCTCTCTCTCTCTCTCTCTGTCTCTCTCTCTCTCTCTCTGTCCCTCAGGAACTCAAGGAAGGAGCTGAATGACATACGGTTTGAATTCACTCCAGGGCAAGGTCAGTGCACCTCATCATGCATCAGCCAGTCACAGCGTTACGCTGTCTTCAAGTCCTCCTGGGACGTTCCCACTTACGAGGGTGGAAACATTATTACGAAGGCATTTAGGCTGGGAGGAAATGGACATAATTTCTTTTAGCAGTAGTGCATCAAAACGAAGAGCAAAGGATAAGTTTATTCTATATATATATATATATATATATATATATATATATATATATATATATAAATATTTTTACTCAGTTAATCCAGTTTTGAAAGATATATTAAAATAGCTTTACGTTCTTAGAGAAAGTGCAAAGTACAAATTCCCTGATTTTAATACATGTGATTATATTATTCATTTAATAAGTTTAGAGAGAAAGTCAGTTGTGAAATTCTGGCCAATTTATTCTTTTAAAGGAGATGTTCACTTTTGAAAAAAACTTTTGCTGATAATTTACTCACCCCCATGTAATCCAAGATGTCCATGTCATTCTTTCTTCAGTCGAAAAAAATGAAGGTTTTTGATGAAAACATTCTAGGATTTTTCTCCATATAATGAATTTCATTGGGAACCAAATGGTTCAAGGTCCAAAAGACAGTTTCAGTGCAAATGAACGAATCTTTTTCCACGTCATTTGGTTCATTCAACGAACAAATTGACTCGGAAAATGATTCGTTCGTTTTGGTGAACGAGTTTGAACAGGAGAGTCACGAACCCTGATCAATCCCTTTGAATAGTTTGCAGTTTGTACTGAAAGTGTCTTTTGGACCTTTAACCAGTGGTGGAGGAAGTACTGAATCTCAGTACTTAAGTAAAAGTACAAATAAACAGATAAATATTTACTTTAGTAAAAGTAGAAGTAACACAATGACAACCATACTTAAGTAAAAAGTAAAAAGTACCTGATTTTAAATGTACTTTAAGTACTAAAAGTAAAAGTACTTGCATAATAATTGATTCTCTTAATGACTATTTTCTAATGATTAATAAAACATTTAGTTCTAACTCATTCAACCTAATACTCCTATAATGATGTTCAATAATGATGGAAAAAAATTGTTGTCACCATTTCTGAAACAAGCTTGCAATTAGGCAATATAAGCCATATCTATATGTTAATAACTATGTTTGGCAGTAAACGCGATTCATTTATGGTGTAATTCTGAACCTCTTGGCTTGCCATAATCCTAACCAAACGTATGTGATATTACACACCGTGTGTTTCCTATGCATGTAAAAACAAATTTTCACGTATAAATTGCACGATAAACACTGCGTGCGAGACGCATTTAGTTGATGTATCTATGCCAACCAAACGTCACTGGTGAGACAAACGTGCAACGAACAGACGGTCAGATTGCGTTTTGGCAGGGGAAAAACTGATCAGAAAATGTAATGAAAATGTAACAGAAGTTGTAGAAATGTAGTGGAGTAGAAAGTATAATAATTGCTGCAAAATGTAACGAAGTAAAAGTAAAAAGTATGCACTATTTATTGTACTTAAGTAAAGTAAAGATACGTGAAAAATGTACTTAAGTAAAGTAACGAAGTATTTGTACTTCGTTACATTCCACCACTGCCTTTAACCATTTGATTCCCATTGAAGTCCATTATATGGAGGAAAATGCTGGAATGTTTTCATCAAAAACCTTAATTTCTTTTCGACTGAAGAAAGAAAGACATGGACATCTTGGATGACATGGGGGTGAGTAAATTATCAGCAAAAGTTTTTTCAAAAGTGAACTACTCCTTTAACACTCCCTAAGTACTTAAAAATCAAATTTCAATTAATTTGGTATTTATGTTTAGATATTATTATATTTTTATAGCAAAATATCACTGTCCCCAATGCTGCTATCATAACCATTACATCACATATTTTAGAAAAATGAGAAGACATCTTTGTGAGGTTTCGACAGTCAGCCTTTCATTCATTTAAAGAATGTATTTATTATTTGGTGTCATTACTAAACCAGGTACTACATTAATAAAGAAATCAATTAAATTTTATTTGTGTAAAATAAATTGACTGCTAGCTAACTTGTTAACATTATCCCAGAAGTAAAATAATAAAAATATATGTCATTTCCATTACACATAATTAACACAACACCATTTCTTCATAGAAGAAACCTAGAAGAATCATCCATGAAGTAAATGTGCAGTCACTGGACACACTGAAAGCATGATGATGATTAATAGCAATTTAATTCCACCATGCCCACACGCCTCCAGCATTATAAGCCCGAGCTCAAAGAAAATCCAGTTTCCTACTGGTAATTATGACATTATGCTGGTGTTCATGTGCATCTTAAAATGATCTTTCCAGAGTGACTTGAAGGCAGTGTTAGCAATATTAAAAAAGAGATCTCACAGGGTTCCTTCTGTTCTCAGTGGGACTCAGACTGCATAGATCTGGGTGGGTGGTATGAACAAAATGGCCCAATTTAGACATTCAAATAACTTTGCAACTGCATGTCAACTAACTCTCATTAGAGTATCAGGAGACTGCTTAATATCTGCTAACACTTTATTTAGATGCTCCCCAACAGACTTTATAAGTAACTTTGCATCTACATATCAACTTATTCTACTAACCCTAACCTAATATTCTACTTCAGTCTACTAATACTCTAATGATAATTATTTGACATGTAATTGCAAAGTTAATTATGGATAGTAGAATGTCTGAAGTAACCTTTTGTTGTTGTTGCTGAAATTGCAATGAAAACAATGTTCATATACACTCTCAGAAAAAAAGGTACAAAAGCTGTCACTGGGGCTGTTTTCAAAAGGTACACTTTTGTATCCAAAGGCTACATATTGTTACCTTAGTTAGTGGTACATATTAGCACATAAAATGTACATATTAGCTCATGAAATGGACATAGTAGCACCTAAAATGTACATATTATCACCTAAAATGTACATATTAACACCTAAAATGGACACATTAGCACCTAAAATGGACATATTAGCATGTAAATCTACATATTAACACTTAAAATGTACATATTAGCACCTAAAATGTACATATTATCACATAAAATAACCTTTTGAAAAGGTACAGCCAGTGACAGCTTTTGTACCTTTTTTTTCTGAGAGTGTATATATATATATATATATATATATATATATATATATATATATGTGTGTGTGTGTGTGTGTGTTATTTGGATCTTGAACGACACAAATGAATCTGATTATTCATAACAAAATGCATCACTAATAAAGAAGTCATTTAACAAGTTAAAAATAAAATGTTTGTCAAATAACTCTAAAATTTGATTGGATGAGCCACATTTGAAGTTGTAAAATATAACGTCAACGTGGCAAATTGTGAAGTTATTAATCATAATCAACTAATCTCTGCTTTGTGCCTACCATTGACCTGGGCTTTTTTTTTTTTTTTTTTAAATTATAAATTCATTTTAATTTTTGTATATTCCATTAGAATTTTAGTTAAAGTTGTAGAATTTTTGTTGTGTTTTTGTCATTTTTATTTTTTTAACAGGTTTTATTCACCATTATTTCAGTTTTAGTTATTTCAGTTAAGCTAAATAAAAAATAAATAAATAAAAGAAACATTTTTTTGCTTTGAAATAGCAAAATGTTTAACTGAAATTTTTAATATTTGATTTCCGTTAAAGTTGTTTTTATTTCAAGACAATGTTTCTTCTTCTTCTTTTAGTTAACTCTATTAGCCCTGCATCACACCACCCAGCCCTAGATCTGACTGGTTCAGTGCATTCGAGCCCATTGCGACTTGTTTGTTGATGTTTGTGTGCGTTGGTTTGCCAGAACATACTTTTAACTTTTTGTTCTGACAGTTTTCCTGCTGTAATATCATGCTGTGCATCTATGTGTGTGTGTTTTCTCAGACACTGCTGATGGAGTTTCTCAGGAGCTCTTTTCTGCTGGTCTGGTCAATGGTCATGATGTTGTAGTGGGTAAGTTGAGCGTGCGTCACATTAAACTCAGTTTTATCGTCTGCCACTTTAAATGGTGAGCAGGATGGATTATGATTGGCTGTTAATGTTTTTATTGTTCATCAGCTGGAAAAAAAGTCTTATCTGAAAGTGATTCCAAATATATCCGTTCTCTGTGCCATTATCGTTACAGTATATAAATAAACGTGAAGAGGTGCCATGTAGTAATTACCATAATTTCAACTTGTAAGAAGCATTCACGTCCACGATCTCGTAATTACAGCTTGTAAGATGGGAGAGCTTCAACTTGTTCCACCTGACCACTGCAGATTAATCTAGGCGTTGATAAGTATTGTGATAGAAATGCATAACTCCTATTCCTCAGAATAGAGCATCACGTGTTGTAATCTCGGTACGGTAATTACGACATGGCGTGAACGCAAAAAAATGTCTCACTCCTGGTAACAGAGAATGAGTGAACATTGTTCATTTATGTATTTTACTCACATCTTTACAATAAAAAGCAGGTTGAAAATTGTGAATAACTTCTGACCATTACTTTAGAGCAGCTCATGATGTTTCTGGGACTGATAGCGGCTTCATCTGTGAGGAAAAAATTGCTAAATTGCTAAAGGAAACAATCTCAGGGGTCATTAGTCCACTAAACATGCAAAGCAATATGCTAGGTATGAGGGGAAGATGAGTCGCCCATGCATCAGTAATGCTATAACCGCACCAATTAATGTGTATAGTTAGCATTCACGGTTACACACAATTTGGCTAGTGGGTAATTTGAGTTCAAGCCATTTCAGAGCAACTACGTGAATACAGAGGTGCTGAATATGAAGAGTTCAGATGCAAAAGCCTCTAAATGCCATTTGAAATTTCCTTCTTTAATGATGATTTTTATCAAACTTGTATATTTAAGTTCAGTAATTTCACTTAAATAACAATTAATAGGTATTTATCATTGCCATTTAAGTGAAATCACTGAACTTAAATATACAAGCTTGATAAAAATGGTCATTCTAGAAGAAAATTTAAAATGGCACTTAGAGGCTTTTGCATCTGAACTCTTCATATCAAGATGTCATTTGTTTAAACGTATTGCTCACTCCTAATGTCAGTATCTTTTTCTACACGTTTTCCCAGTGGCTGCTAACCTTCAGAAGATTGTAGACGACCCAGTTACCTATAAAGTGTTGACCTTTAAGCTGGTGAGTATTCACATGCTAAATGTCACAATTCCAGTGAGGGAATGGAAAAGTAATGGAAATTAATTTCATTAAATCGTTTTCTAGTTACACTCAGATTTGTAATTAATTGGCTTGAAATTGTTCTTCGTTGATGGAGTCATTTTTTTACCCAGCTATGAACGATTGCAACTGGTCTGTTTTTATACGATGCGGTTTATTTACTTTCAGCAAATTCATTGTGCATTGAATATATAACAGCATACGTCCCTCAGGTCCAACGCAACCATTCATTTATTATTCGCTGAAATCACGTCTTTGACAGCGCGTAATGAATTTTCATTACATAATTCCTTATTGAGCACATGACAAATCGGAGAGTGTTTAATGATGCCTTTGAATGCGCTAAAAAAAATGACAGAACTGTGATATTATGGCAGATACATGAATACCCGAATTAAAATGTCACTGAATATTACTGTTAAATGCATACAGATGAAGAAGGGAGCGCATTAGACCCCAGCGGCTGGATCCTGTGGGAGGATCTGCTCATATTTCCCCTGGACTTTTATATTTCAGCCTCTGTGGAGGATTAGAGACAGATAGTGGTGATAGACGGCGCTTTAATCCACTTTTAAGTGGATACCGTTATATTGGATAGGATGCCGTTTTGCTCCATTCACATGAATCTTCTGGTGAGATCGTCTCCCTGTAGATAGGTTTCATGTAATGTGAGGTCCTCCATGGTGGTGTTAAAGATATTGAAGTTTCGTCAAAGCTTACTTGCCATTATGTCGTTCCAAACCCTCATTTTTTTCTATGTAACACATATGAAGAACATTTGAAGAATGTACAAACAACACACAGTTCATAGTGGCGGCTAAAGACGGACGATAGAAGCAAATCACAATATTTAAACAAATTGAATGTTATGTGCATTACAATATTATTATTTTACAAATAAACATCATAATAATGCTAAAACAGTTATTTTGATTGTAAATTTAATTGTAAAATTACGAAATAAATGAAATGTTGCTTTGAGAATAATCTCCAAATAGGCCTTTTATGAGAATAGTCATGAAATTTCAAGAATAAAGCTGTGACATTACAAGATTAATAAAGCTATATTTTGAGTTAATGTCAAAAGAAATTGTCAAAATTACGATATTAAAGTTTTAAATAATTTTAAAATTTATTCTTGTAAGTTTATGACTTTATTTCTTATTACTCCATGATATGATGTACATTTTTTGGTGTAAAATTTTTAAAAAAGCAAAACAAATATAAAGCATTTTTAAGCAAAATATGTGTTGTTAATAGGGCTGTGCAAAAATTAATTGCGATTAATCGCATCCAAAATAAAAGTCTGTGTTTACATAATATATTTGTGTGTGCTGTATATAATTATTTTGTATATATAAATACACGCACACATGCATGTATATATTTAAGAAAATGTGTTATTCATATATAAAATATTTATATTTATATAATATAGATTATGTATTTATATATATACAGAATTTAAGTGCAAATAATTCTTAAATATATACATGCATGCATAGGTATTTTTTATATACAAAATAATTATATACAGCACACACAAATATATTATGTAAACAGAGACTTTTATTTTGGATGCGATTAATAGCAATTAATTTTTGCACAGCCCTAGTTGTTAATATAAAAATATTAAGTGTATGTGTGTGTGTGTTTGTGTGTGTGTGTGTGTGTATGTTTTTACAGTCGTGAACATTGCATTAAAACTTAAACGTAAAACTTAATAAATAAATATTTAAAAATCTTTTATTTTAAAACTTTGCATTATTTTTAGGGCTGTGAAACGATTAATCGCATCCAAAATAAAAGTTTGTGTTTATATAATATATGTGTGTGTAGTGTATTTATTTTGTATATATAAATACACACACATGCATGTATATATTTAAGAAATATTTGCATGTGTATACTTTATATATATATATATATATATATATATATTTATACAAAATTAATATTATACATAAATATAAATAATAAAAATTAATAACACATTTTTCTTAAATATATAGATGCATATGTGTGTATTTATATATACAAAATAATTATACACACCACACACACACATATATTAAGTAAACGCAAACTTTTATTTTGGATGCGATTAATCACGATTAATCGTTTCATAGCCCAAATTATTTTATGCCATTATTTTTATTTACTTTTTTTATTTTGCATGATATCGCCATCTTTAGTGGCTTCCAGGCTTCAAAAAGGGCATACATTTAATTTTGTCTTTATTTTTGGTTCCATGTTTCAATTGAATGCCAGTGCAAAAAAAAGATTTATAAGCTAGCTGTTGTTTTATGGGAAAGAGTGGTTTTGGAACAACATGATATTGAGTAAATAACGGCAGAATCTCAGATGAACTTCTCCTTTAACCGCAGGAAACGCTAGCACTAAGAGCAGGTCCCGGTGGACTGGCCAATCCGGCGCGACGCCTGTGTTTAATCACTCCTTTAGATGGAGCCGAGAGTTGGCGGTAAACAACATCTGCGCGTTTGCAGCCTTTTGCAGAGAGCTATCTCTACAGCATCTGCCAGCTCTTACCCTTAACTTCACCCTCCAACCCTCCACAAAACTCCCACGTTGCATTTCTCACTCGCACCTGGTGTGTTTAGAAAATCACATTAGGACGTGTGGAGTTTTATTGTTTAATTTGAGCTTGAGCGTCCCATGAGAGAACTCCACATCACATGATTGGAACACTACTCCACATTAAAGCTGAGAAATCTGCTGGTGAAACAGGATTGTAGACGGCACGGCGTGTGTGTGTGTGTGTGTGTGTGGGGAATATCTCAGGCAGCCTGGTCCTTCGATCTCATTTACTAATGTCACCCCTGACTACACTGTGTGGAACTCAGACAATTATGCTGCCTGGATATTGAACCGTGAAGAAGAATTATGTTGTGCGCACACATGCAGGCTCTGTGGCTTGTGCATGGACATGCAATAGAGAACGCTGAAAATGCATCGATTTTAATGGGGATAAATAATGCAACACAAGTGACATCATGTTACCAAAAGTTGCAAAACTGACCAGTCAGCATTTAGGACTGGAACTATCCGTTTCATAATGAGTTTTTTAATCTGCTAAACGATTTGTTTTAGGGCTGTCAAGCGATTAAAAATTGTAATGTAATTAATCAAATGATTTTGCGATTGATTAATCTAATTACTCGCAAATCAAAACTGGCTGAGAAATTGCCCCCAAAAAGATCATGTAAAATCATTCATGTTAAATGAGAAAAGCATTAAAAACATCACAAAAAGTAGCTATAGAAAAGGGAGCTTTTGTTCTTTTCTTTTTTGATTCGACATAGAATTTATTGCACGTAAATTTTTATATATATTCAGTTCATTTTTAACATCTCCGCTACACGTGTGAAATTTGTTTTTTATGATGTTGAAAAACCGAATGGTAATTAATCATCTTTATTTTTATTTATTTATAGTGCTAGGTTTTGATTAATCGCGATTAATCACGTCCAAATAAAAGTTTGTGTTTACATAATATATATGTTTACAGTGTATAATTAATTTGTATATATAAATACACACATATGCATGTATATATTTAAGAAATATATATATATATATATATACTGTATATATATATTTATATATAATTTATATATAAATATGAATATTTTATATATAAATAAAAAATCTTAAATATATTCATGCATGTGTGTATTAATATGCTATATATTATATATTATATATTATATATATATATATATATATATATATAATTATACACAGCACACACACACACACATATTATGTAAACACTAACTTGTATTTTGGATGCGATTAACCAAACTAAATTAAATTTAAGAAATTAAATAATCAACTAAAAATTCATTTAAACCTGTATGATATTACACTGTAGCCACATTGGACCAGTGGTTTGGAAAATGTATGGATGGATGATTCAGCTGTGGGCGAAAACTTCTGGTCAGACGCGGGAATTCGTTCCATGCACAACCCTCACAGTGCATTATGGGTATTCTCTAGCCGTTGGGAGTACATCGGTTGTATGTGTTATTTTGGTGCATTGTGGGATTGAATGAGTGCACTCGATATTGTCCACTATAAATAGCTTTGCCCTATTTAAGGGTATTGGGGGCGATTTCAGACACAGTCTTGTTTAAAAACGAATCTGCATCATCCATTAGGAAAGCGTCAGCCACGCTTTCCTAATGTTAGGACAGTGCAAAAGACTTTATCCACAACTTAGCACTTCAAAATGTCTTGTAATTCTCAAAGGTGTCTCTATCGTTTTTGTTGCTAGAGTAATCCTGCTACATGACATGTGCAAATCAGTGGGCGGGGCTAAAGAGGCAACGATGTAGATGTAGGCGTTCATCATCTTCTGCAGTCATGTGACAAAATCCGAAAACGAGACGTTTTCCGAGCTTGGTTTTAATAATAGCTGTATAATGACCTCTTTTATGTCAAAAGATCAGGGAAAATGTAATTTCTCAATACATGACCCCTTTAATATATCAGCGTCTACATTATGTGTCCATCAGAGGGATTTCTGCATTCGTAAGCGGCAAAACACATGCACACACACACACACACAGAGCGATATAAGAAGCACTTCCTTCTGCACCGAGTAATTCATAATGCTTCACCAGGGAGAAATGTTATGAGTAGTTACGTCAGAGAGGAGTTTTATGGGCAGACCTTTCCACGGGTCATAGTGCCTCTTATTTAGAAGGAGCTTGAACTCAGGCCGTATTTCACCGCAGTGTTTTTTAGAGAGAGCAGACGCTCGCTCTCTGAGATCAGTCGTCTGACCCTGAGCTCCTCCAGAGAGTACTGACAGCAGAGAGCGAGCGATCGATTTCCACCACACACTCGGGCTGTGTGTTACCTGTGATAAGATGCTCTGCTCTCTCCTCTGTGATTAAGATTACAATATCATTACTTTCCTCATTTGCTTTTTTTTTTTTTTTTTGCCTTTCATCCCTTAACCTCCCTTGAAGTGTATTGGATATTAGTTGTTGGAAATTAAGTCAAAATGTATGTAATTAGTAACCATTAGGGAGGGGAATAATCCAGATTCAGTGCAATTTAAACTCTATTTTTGTTGCATAATGCTGATTATCAACTGGGTTGGTTATTTATTTATTTAAGCAAGTAAATGTGGTCCAGTGCTCCTAATGGTTTAAAAGCACAAATGAGAAGCTGCTATTGCTGTTAAAGCACCTGCATGAATTATTGAAAGCCATTTCTTATGAGCTGTAAAGTTGTCTAAACCGTGCTTTCTGAGGTGAGACTGCTGACGTACTGTAAGTCCTGTTGAGTTTGCACCATGTAAACAGTCTTTTTCTGTTATCCTTCCTCGTATTGTGCTAAAGTTTCCCTGTTTAGTAGCATTGCAGAATTTGCGGTTGACATTGCGAAACTTGGTGAGATGCACTGCTGTCCCTCATATATGACTGATTTGAGTTAGCCATTAGCATGTTGATAACAAATGCTGTATTAGGCGCAAAACTGCTTAGCACACAATTGCATACAATTCCCTTTTATATATTGGTCCAAAATATATATTTTTCTAATTTAATTTGTCTTTTATCGATATTTACATTATTAATAAATGCTGTACATGAATACTATATATATAATTACATATAAAATATATATATATATATATATATATATATATATATATATTATAAATAAATACTATGTATATGTGTATATATATATATATATACTGTATGTGAGTGTGGCACAATGGAGAATGCCACCGGCAATAATTTGACTATAAGTTAAAAATAATAATGAAAAAATATAATAATTTTTGCCACATTATATTATTATATATTAGAATACTATATATATATATATAATATATATTATATTATTTATATATAGAATTTTATATATATATATATATATATATATATATATATGTGTGTGTGTGTGTGTGTGTGTGTGTGTGGCGCAATGGAGAATGCCACCGGCAATAATTTGACTATAAGTGAAAAATAATAATGAAAAAATATAATAATTTGTGCCACATTATATTGTTATATATTTATTATTATTAAAAAAGATTACTGGTAGTCAGTGGCACTCTGCATTTCGCCACATATTTTTTTTGTATTATTTTAGATTTTGTATTATTTTATTAGTCAAATTATTGGCTGTGGTTGTCTTCATTATGCCATATTATATTGATCATATTATTATTGTACAAAGAGTCAAAATACTGTTTGCTGTAATCCATAATATTCCACATTACATTTATTTTATGATTATTGTGTTTTATATTATTTACCATTAGTCAAATTATTGTCTGTGGAAATCCACATTATGCCAGCAATGCTGACAGAAAATCCCCTTAAATAATGCTTCAGAAATCACAAAGCCGGTGATTTGTTTTGTGTGTGTCTTCAGGCGTCTGGTTGCGACAGCACAGAGATCCCAGATGAGGTGAAGTTGATTGGCTTTGCCCAGCTGAGCATCACCTGAAAGCATCTCATTCCCACAGCAGAGAGGGAGTCTGGGGGACGAGACTGAACGCTGCAGGAGACGACGGGACGGGGGTTCACTACCACACCGCTGCAAACACACACTTCCTGTTCCTGTTCCTCCCCATTCACCTGCCCTCGCCTTCGAATGTTTGCACTCGTTCAATCAAACGCAGCGCTCTTATTCAAACACACGTCCTCTTTCCCTGAAGCTGTATGTCAAATGTCTTTCAGCAAAACATTCCAGCACCCATTTCCCAGAATTCAGAGCAGGAGCCCATCATCTCAGGAGGCAATGGCTAGTAAAACAAAAAAGAAAGTTTTATTTTATGATTGTGTTGCCTATGCGTTCAGCAGAGCTCTTACCGTATTATTATTATGAATAATAATTTATTTTTTTGTATTATTCTTTTCTATTTCCCGTCCGTTGAAGAGTAGCTTACCTGATGCGTAGATTGTAGACCACAAAACTGAAGTGGAGACGTCTCCCTCTGAATGTAAAAAGCACATTTTCATTTTAGCACATTTTAACTGTATTGTACATAGAGACCTTCTGATGTCCAATGAAAAATGAGGGAATATTTCTTTTTTTCTTTCTTTCTTTTTCCAGAGGACTGAACCGAATGCTGCCATGTGCAAACGTGCTGCTTTATTTTTTCGGGACAGTGTTGATGCTTCAATGCTTGAGGTGCCTTGTTTTTTTGTTTTGTTATTGAATCCGTGCCTAAGAGATGTAGGTAACACGCTTGAAGCTGTTCTACTGACACTGAACATGAAGGACGCCGGTTCTTCGATAGTATTTTCACTGGTCGGTGGCTCGCATTGAAGTTAGCAGCTGATGCACTTTGATTTCACCTTTGGCGCTTTGACTCGACGCAACTATCCAGATTTAACCCGTTAAAGCTTTGTCGTGTGACAAACAAGGTCATCGCTACCACTACACACACTTAATCCTGATGTGTTGTATTTACAAAAAGGCCGTCGATGGTTATGCGTCATTTTTACAGCACTAGAATGTGTTAGTTTTTGAACCCAGAATGCACCTGTCTAAGTATTTTGTAAAGGAAACCAAATGTCTACTACTGAATGACAGAAAAGCCATCTGTGTGTCCAAAACGAGTATAGTAGCTTGAATTAAATTATTTTGTTCTCAGCCCAAATGTAAATAAGGTTAACTAAATACTTTATTATTGTTATGACGTTGATTTGTGTTTTCTATATACCATGCGTGTACTCACCCTAACTATTCAGCCCATGTTCCCTTTCTGTAATCAGCAAAGAATATACAATTTCTGCGAAGGTACAACAAATAAAGAAAGAATTGCTACTATTAAACCGGAGCATGGCTGTGTTTTGGAAGAAAAAGGATCCTAACCGTATAATGTGATTGTGATATTATCTTTTGCCTGCCTCTGTGTGTGTTTTTTTATATTGTAATTGCTATAATTTACCGCCGGCAAACCCCCAGAAAGAGATTTCATTACAGTGTTTAAGTATCTAATCGTCTCCTCATAAAATGGTGAAGAACCATCAGATTTATGTTGAGCATTTATGTGAGTACTTGAACTGGTTAGGGCTGGATCAAATATCCGAAAGAGAAACAGTGATGATTTTCGGATGTTTTTTTATGTTTTATATCGGTTCACACTATAATATTTATTATATTATTATTTTATCTTTTTTTTTTAGTTATAGTAAAATTATTGCTTGTGGTGTATTCAAATAAAATTTTAGTTATTATTTTATTATATTAAAAATGTTTTGCCTGTCATAATCTACATTATATTATTTATTTTAAAAAAATCTGATATATAATTTAACTGGATTTTAAAGGGATACTCCACTTTTTTGGAAATAGGCTAATTTTACCACTCCCCCAGAGTTAAACAGTTGGGTTTTACCGTTTTCGAATGTATTCAGCCGATTTTTTTGATATTTAGAAAAATATCGGTAACCAGACAGTTTCTGGTCTCATTGACTTCCATAGTATATTTTTTTCCTACTATGGAAGTCAATGAGACCAGAAACTGTCTGGTTACTGATATTCTTCTAAATATCAGAAAATCAGCTGAATGGATTTGAAAATTGTAAAACTCAACTGTTTAACTCTGGGGGTGTGGTAAAATGAGCCTATTTCCAAAAAAAGTGGAGTATCCCTTTAAAGCTGCAAAAGTCTGCAGTGTTTCCTCTTTGGTGCCATCTCTGTTCAAAATCTGCAATTGCAGTCATTCGTGGAATCATCAACTTTACGTGAGTTGTGCCTCGGCACGGCGTGGATGAATCCAATGTTTTGGGCTACGTCCACATTAATCCGGATACATTTGAAAACAGCGTTTTCGTTTATAAACGCTCTCCTGTCCACACTAGCGTTTTCAGGTGTTTTCCATCGTTTCAGTGTGGATGAGAAACTTCTAAATTCACCTTACTGTGCATGCATGAAAACTCATGAGACAAAAATAAATATAAATAATAAAGTTATCGCGCAAATCTTTAACAGGATAATTTTATTTAGCAAAATATCTCACCATCACTGATGCATCCAGGTCGCACTCATTCACCATAAGTTTGATCTCAAACGCGACTGTCGAAAATTTTGAGTTTCTCTGATCTTCTTGAAACTCTGGATTCAGATAGAGGGCCATGGGACTTACACCTGAGTGCATAAATGGAGGCTCTAGACCCTTCCAGAGCTGAGATATTGAGATCCCACGTAGCATTTATGCCATTATGATTTATGTCGGGGGGGGTTTTTTCGGGTTGAAATTTTGAGTTTCTCTGATCTTCTTGAAACTCTGAATTTTGAGTTTCTGAATTTTAGACCCTTCCAGAGCTGAGATATTGAGATCCCACGTAACATTTATGTCATTTATAAATATCTCAATATATCAGCTCTGGAAGGGTCTAGAGCCTCCATTTTTGCACTCAGGTCTAAGTCCCATGGCCCTCTATCATAATCCAGAGTTTCAAGAAGATCAGAGCAACTCAACATTTTGACCCGAAAAAAACGACAGGGGCGCCCGTCGATTTTTTTCGAGACGAGAAATTAAGTTTCTCCAATCTTCTCAAAACTCTGGATTCTGATAGAGGGCCATGAAACTTAGACCTGGATGCAAAAATGGAGGCTCTTCTTGACCCTTCCAGAGCTGAGATATTGAGATATTTATAAAAGGAGCATTTCACCCATTGCAACATTAATCTTTATTGAAAGTGGATCATATATGTAGTCGAAATGTAAAAGAATTTTTTAATTTGGTGCCCTCTTGACCGAGAAAAGACAGAAAATAACCAAGGGGTGCCTATATATGAAAAAACTACATGTCCCACAATCCACAGCTCCTCAAGCCAAACCCACTAATGGGGAACAGCCATGGGAACAGCGGCGCAAACAGAGAATTCACTCTATGTTATCCCTCAACTAAATATTGAATATGTTGAATATTGAATTATTCAGTATTGTTAAGTCTCAAGCATCTTCACTCTGAGTCAAGACAGGATATAGTGTTTGAAATAATCCATTTAGCTAACAATCTGTGGAAGTCTGGTATTAGTACTACATTTATATGGGTGCCAGCTCATATAGGTGTAGGAGGTAATGAATTGGCAGACAAATGTGCGAAGAAAGCAGCAGAGAAGGATTATACATGAGATAGATATCAAATACAGCAAAGCTGAAGTTAAAAGTATAATTAAAGCTAAAATTAATGAAAAATGGCAGTTTCTCTGGGACAATGAACAGACAGGAAGATAATTGTATAGAATCCAAGGAAAAGTGGGAAAGGGCAGGAATACATACAGGAAAAGGCAAGAAGAAGATATGGTGTCTAGAATGAGATTAGGACATACAGGGTTAAATAGAACGTTATTTATAATGAATAAGCATGTTGATGGAAAATGTGATTACTGCAATAGTCAAGAGTATCTAATTATGAATGGGCTCTATGCACGGCGGTATTTCCGGTGAAGCATTAGGGATGCTCGATAACTTCCGCCGATCATAGAGTCCAATGCAATACCGAGAATTTATATTGAATTTTATACTCCATGGTTATACTAAAGAAACGTTAGTCACAAAAACAGATAAAACAGACACCCCTCGTTGTGTTTATGCTTCTTTTTAAAATTATATTAAATAAACATAACTATATATAAAATTACATCTAAACGTATGTACGTTTCGTTTCAAAGACGGGAGGACAGTTAATATTGAAGACTCTGCCATAATCCCGTTTTCTCCGGTTTTCCTCCGCTTTAATCTACACAACCGGAAATGGACGAGCATCCTTACGTCAAATGCGGAACTTATGCGTGCATATAGCCCATTGTCCTAAATACCATCAAGATAGGCAAAGATTGATATCACAATTAGGTGAGAATGGGATTACCCTAAACTTAAGGGAAATAATGCAAAGAGGGTCTGGTGAAATTTGTTTTTATTTTTTGTTTTCTTTTTTAAAGATAACTGGATTAATAAAAATAATTTAAAAGGTGTAGTCAGACCAGGTTGCAGATTATGAGATTGACCCATTGATCCACACTCCAGTCCAGATGGTGGCGGTAATGCACCAAAAGCTGGTTGCCAACCGCCATAGAAAGAGAAGAAGAAGAGAATTCACTCTTCCGTCTACAAGGCTAACATTAGCTGTCACGATCGAGGGCGAGGGATGTAAGAGGACGGCGCGCCTCGCGAGGCTGGTGGCGTGAGTTATAACAGAGACTGATAATGAAAGACACCTGTCAGGCGCACGCCGGTCTTGCGTCTCTCACGGAGAAACGAAAGCATAAAACGGGGAGCGACGACGGCAGATCGAGAGAGAAACAGGCCTGATTTTATGCTGTGTAGTAGGGCTGTCGCGGTAACCGCAATATTGTAGTACTGCGCTTCTGACAAATCAACCGTAGAGGATTGCACGTAACCGCAGCAACCGTGATATTCACGGTTTTTTTATATAAGGCTTCTTGTTTTGAACTTAATGCATGTGTATTGAATGTTAAACAAGTTCATAATGATAACAAGACTGTTTATCATGGTGATGTGTAGCCTACAGGTTTCACACAGACAGTGAATGAGAGAGATCGGCAGAGCGCGTGCGATTACCTGCGTCTGTCTTTGAAGTCGTGAAAAGCTTGTCGTGTCAAAGGGATCATCATTAACGTTCTCTTCACGGGTATTTTCCCATAAATGCGCGTCAGCAGCAGCGCTGGTCAGCATCCCACAACACAAGGAAGCCGCGGTGAAATAAAATCAGTGAGTCACGCATTGAATCAATGCTATATTGGTCTCTAATAAGTGAAGCATCAGCTTCAGCGTTGCCCATGCGACACATTGCTGCTCAGCTGAGCCTTGAAAAGTTGAACCTCAAAGTTAAAATAATTAGCCTAATATCTTGTTTCTTTACATCTCTTTTAATGAATCAGATTTTTTTTAAACGTGTTCGTTGAATGAACGGTTCAATGACTCGCTCAAAGTCCGTTGTCATAAAAATATGCGCGCTGAGTGAAAGTCTTTCAATGGGCATATACTGTAGACGCTGTTAGTTTCGACTACTGAAAATGTCCTCGTTTTTGTCCACATCGTAAACTTTATTTATATAGCAATAAATAAATAAATGGCGGTAATACCGCATATCGCGCTATTGAGGCACTCAACTAGCCTGGTAATACAGTGATCGTTCATGAATCACATATCTGGGACTAATGCAGCAGGATGTCGAAACGAAATATGGTGGATTATTATTATGATAATAATAATATGATAATAAGAGCGCGCCAGGAGCGTTCACAGCCGAGGAAACCGACGTTATTGTCGTGGCCGTAAAAGACGGAGAACTGACGTTGAATGGGGGTAAGTTATTAAGTCCTTATATTTATGCATATAGTTATGGCCAAACAGGTCTGATCTGTCATTACTACAATTAGCCTGAAAAAAATGGGTAGCCTAAATGCCTAAGCTTGAAGTGTTAATATTTGTCCTTGTTATAATGATTTGCAAAAATAAAAACGTCTGCACGCGCCGGTCCTAGCTGTAAACACTGATGATGCGAGCGAAATACCGGAGTGAACATGGCTGTAAACGACTTTTGCTTCAGCTTGAAAAACCCCGGAATGTTCTCCATAACAGAGCGAATTGCATCCCGTGTCTTGTTTCCCATTTCTGTGGTTGTTTCGGTATTCGGTTTTCGATTCCTCTAACCTACCATAGACATATAGACCTCACCTTGGATACGGCAGTTCATTCAGTAGCACCTCAATGCAGAACATGAGATCCACGGGGAGGAGTCGGATCACGATCCAAGGGGTGGAGATGGGTAAGATTAGGGTTGGGTTTAGGGATTAGGGGTGGGTTTAGGGATCAGGGGGCGGAGTTGGTTAGGTTTAGGTGTATGTAAGGTGGGAGGAGTTGGATCTGGATCCGACTCCTCCCCATGGATTTCATGTTCCGCAGTGAGGACCATCTCAGTTCATTAGAACGAATGCGTCAATAGAGCCGCCATCTTGAAACAGGGGAGCCCCTCCACTTTAATGCATCAGCGTCAATGTAGTAGACACAGGTCTAACGGAAATAAAATCACCATAAATCATCATGAATGCGATTTTTCTTGTTTTTTTGGTTTGTTCCAACAGTCAGACATGTATTTATCATTGATTCCAGAAAGAAAAAAAAATGTTTTAATTTTTTTTAAAAACAACATTCTTCCTAGTTCAGATTTCATCCGTGAACTTCATACGCTGCACAAAAGTCCGCCACCATTAATGAATTCGAAGTAAAGGCAGAGATAGCAGCGTTACCTAGCTACTTCCTATGACAAGACCCCTGTTCCAAGATGGCGGCGGTTTTGACGCATGCTTAGAACCCCCAGGTGAGGTCTAGTGTATATGTCTATGCTAACCTACAATGTACTCCTCGGCGCTTAGCGGCTACGTCACGGCTCTCAGCCCGCCCTCTGTTCGTTGATTGGCCGGCTGTTTTCAGGCCGGTGGAAACATAGACATAATATATACATAGACGCCCTATTGGCCGCTTTGTAACTGCGATACGTCAACGGGTCCGCCATTTTGCTAAATTTTGTGCTAAATTTCAGTTTTATTGATCAGTAATAGGCTAGCCATTATAACAGAAGTAGCTTCAGTCAAACATACAATGTTAAAATAGCCTAAATATAGTTATGAAACTTTACTTTGCCTTCAGCCAAAACTATTTACCAGGGAACCATTTATAGATTAATGAGACCAAAGATAAACACAAATTATACGAATTATATCTCATGTTTAACCTCTAGACTAGAGACATCCGAGCCAGCGGCAACCGTCAGAAGCACTGGCCGTGGTACGGCTGTTCCAGGCGGGGGAAACGAGCGCTGGGCGGGGGCGCAGCAACTCCGAAAACTTCAGATCAAATTTTTAAATAGGCTCTATCTTTATAAACAAACCACATATTTGAGCTTTAAACAACTACATTGTCGACTGAAAAACTATTAAAACTACATTGCGTGACACAATAACAGTAGTATTTAATCTCTAAACGTTACTTACTAATTAAATCATGACCAAATACAACCAAAAACAAACGTTCAGTCTTGCTTGTGAAAGGTACTTCCTCGAAAGCTGTTTTCAGTTGTGTGGCGATTTTTACAGCCCCAAGCAGCGCACAAAACAGGCATTTTTCTCAATTCCCGGTATGAGAGGTTCTCTGCAGCAGACGGACTCTGTGTCCGTAGGCCGTAGCACGCAGCGAGAGTACAGGCAACAGCAAGCCGCCCAGCGCCAGAGTCAGTGCGGGGTCCTCGAGCGCGACAGGTCGCCGCCTCGGCGTCTCCTGCTCCTCCATCAGCCTCAGCTGCTCTAAACTATACTGCAGCTCGTAAATATAGCCACGAACATCGGATTCGAGTGGCAGAATTTCAAAATCCTCTTCTTCCATATCATGTTTAGTTTCTTCCGCCATTGTCATAACTTATCTCCACAGCACTTGTTAGCTTAGCTTCCAAACAAGATGGCGGATATTGATTTCAGTTTCTGCAAGTGAAGTCCCACTCACTGATCTGTAATAGGCTTGTAGGGTGAGTGGGTCCCACACCCTGGCATAATAATGAGCTAATATATGTAGTTCTAAAGATTTTAATGAAATATGACTTCCTGCTTATCGTGACGCAAAACGACGATTTTTACATCACGATAAGCAGGAAGTTAAACACTAAAATCCTTATTTCTCCCATCTCAGGGGAAAATAAGGGGGAAAACCATGACCATTCAAAAATATTACTGGGTTTCTAAAGATACAAAGCTTAATGCAAATGGGTGAAGTGACCCTTTATAAATGAACCATTTACATGGTTTTATATTTATAATGGCATACATACTACGTGAGATCTCAATATCTCAGCTATGGAGGGGTCTAGAGCCTCCATTTTTGCACTCAGGTCAAAGTCTCATGGCCCTCTATCAGAATCCAGAGTTTCAAGAAGATTGGAGAAACTTTTTTTTTCGCACCAAAAAAGAAAAACGAAAGGGGTACCACTGTCGTTTTTTTTTTTTTGGGTCGAAATTTTGAGTTGCTCTGATCTTCTTGAAACTCTGGATTCTGATAGAGGGCCATGAGACTTAGACCTGAGTGCAAAAATGGAGGCTCTAGACCCTTCCAGAGCTGAGAGATTGAGATCCCTCGTAGCAATTATGCCATTATAAATAACTCAATATCTCAGCTATGGAAGGGTCTAGACTCCTCCATTTTTGCACTCAAGTCAAAGTCTCATGGCCCTCTATCAGAATCCAGAGTTTCAAGAAGATTAGAGAAACCTTTTTTTTCGCACCAAAAAAAAAAACGAAAGGGGTACCACTGTCGTTTTTTTGGGGTCGAAATTTTGAGTTGCTCTGATCTTCTTGAAACTCTGGATTCTGATAGAGGGCCATGAGACTTAGACCTGAGTGCAAAAATTGAGGCTCTAGACCCTTCCAGAGCTGAGAGATTGAGATCCCACGTAGGGTTGGGTATCGAGTATCGATTGGAACCGAGACTAACTTTTCGTTTTCCCCGGAATCGTTCAAAAGTTAAAATTTCGATTCCTAGTTTCGATATTCATAGTCCGTCGAGCGGAAGAAGAAACCGCTGAAAAACACCAACGAAGGAGCGTCTACCGGAACTGTTGGCATAACCGCGCGAGTCGAACATAAGTACCTTACGTCGGCGATCCAAAGTGTGGCTTCACTTTTCTAGAAATAACGAAATATCGGCAAAATGCTAAATTTATGACAAAAGGAGTATTTTTACAGAAAGGATTATTTCCTTCAGAAGGACCGTTGGTTAGCAAGGTTAGCTAAACTTTTTTGACCCTGCCTCTTAAAATAATCGGAATCGAGAATCGTTAGGAACCGGAATCGAAACAAGGAATCGGAATCAGAATCGTTCAAATTCAAACGATACCCAACCCTAATCCCACGTAGCAATTGTGCCATTATAAATAACTCAATATCTCAGCTCTGGACGGGTCTAGAGCCGCAATTTTTGCACTCAGGTGTAAGTCCCATGGTCCTCTATCAGAATCCAGAGTTTCAAGAAGATTGGAGAAACTTTTTTTTTTCGTATCAAAAAAAACCCGAAAGGGGTACCACTGTCGTTTTTTTTGGGGGGGGGTCGAAATTTTGAGTTGCTCTGATCTTCTTGAAACTCTGGATTCTGATAGAGGGCCATGAGACTTTGACC